GTTGCGACTGGGCGGTGTGTAGCCCTAAACCATAGACAACCCTGAACGCAGTGTCTGGACATTCAGGACTGAAGGCCGATGGATCGTGGACGCAAACGGTACCCGCGTGAAGTTGGCGTGCGTAAACTGGGCCGGCGCCGAGGTGAAGGCGAACTGACTACTATTATTTTTAAAATTACTTTTACTATTGCTATTATTCTTATTATTATCATTATTATTATCATTGATACTGTGTCTAGCTACTATTTCGTGTTATTATCCCTATCATTACTTTTGTTATCATCATCCCAGTTTCCTGAAAGGATCCAAAAAGCGGAGCCTCCCAATAACCCCTTAGTTTCCCCATGTGACATTGGGGCCACTTTTGGGGGTTGATTTGTTTTTGATCTTTGAGGGAGTCTGGTATGGGAATGGCAAGTACCATATTTCTTGAGTGGCTTTATGGGGGAGTGAAAAGAAAATTGACATTACTGTATTTTCTTGGGCTATGTTGCATACTTTTTCCTATCCGGTGAAATCCAAGTGACTGCTACAATGCTTGTTTCGGGGGGAACAGACCGAATGGACAAGAAACTGGACATGACGATGCTTCTTGGATCGATTTAGGGCTTAGGCTGCGCGTTTAGCCTGGTGCTTAGGTTTAGAGCTTAGTACGGAACGGGGGAAGGCGTAGAAGGGATGTCCATGGAGACTAGATAGGAGCTACTATACGGATTCCCCTCCCCCATTCCGAAAACTCGAAGCCCTGGTGGAGAAAAGGCCTGACAAAAAACACAATCCCAACCTAAACCCTAAGGTTCGAGGTGCTGAACAAATGCCTTAGAACTTTAACTCTAAATCCCAGACTATAAACCCTAAACCTTAATCCTTAAACTTCAAACCCAACACCCCAAACCCTAAACCCTAAACCCCAAAGCCTGAACCCTAAGCCTTAAACCCTCAATTTGTATGGGCAAGGCGAGGCTCGGTGACCTATTCAGGGTTCGAGCCCATGTAAGGTTTAGGGTTTAGGGGTTTAGGGCTTAAGGTTTAGGGCTGAGGATCTGGAATATCCGGTGATCATATAGGGATAATGGAACAGGAATTGGGAGGAGCAAGAGGATGGTATACCACCACGACCGCCGCCGCCGTAGAGGTAGTAGGCTTATTGTGAAGGTGATACCGGTGATGCCAGGTACAGCTGTGCAAGGGCAAATATCTACGAAGGCTGCTGGACATCATGGTGAACGAAGCCAAAGCATCAGGGAAACCCAATGCTCTTGAACCCTTAAACTAAAGCCTTTAAACCCTCAAGACCCTACAGCCCTAGAACCCTCAGAACCCCACAGCCCTGAAACCTTTAAACCCTAAAGCTCTTAAACCCTTGAAAGCCCCAGAGCCCTGAAACCTTCAAACCCTAAAGCTCTTAAACCCCCAAAGCCTCACAGCCCTCAAACCTTGAAGCCCTAAGGCTCTCAAACCCTCGACATCCCAAAGCCCTCAAACCTTCGAACCCTAACCCCAAGCTTGCTGGTGGTCAGTCGGGAATAAGGGAATATAATCCCTGTATAAACCCTGCATAATATATTCCCTCATGCCCTACAGTAAACCCCAAACCCTAAACCCTAAAGCTTACACATTCCTTTCTAACCCCCATTAACCCAAAAGCAATGCAGGATGGCCTCGTCGGTGGCTTGCAGGCTCGAAGTGTGAGGAGTGCCTCAGATTCATATAGAGGGTGTAGGGTTTAGGATTTAGGGTTTGGGATTTAGGGCTTCGGGTTTAGGGATTAGCGTTTAGAGTTTAGGGCTTAGGGTTTAGGATTTAGGGTTTAGGGATTCCGTAAGGTGTAGGGTTCAGGTTTGACAAGATTTAGGATAGCATGTTGGGGGCTTCAAGAACGAGCTATATTGGGGTCCCCCAATTTAGGGAAGATACTATATAGCGCATGCTACTCAAAAGGCATAATAAGGTCTAGAGTAAGGATTCACGCTTGATGGTTCAAGCTTTAGACTTAGGGTTCTGGGTTTAGGGTTTAGAGTTATGGGTCATTGTTGATTGGGGGTTATATGTTTAGCTATTTAGAGATTAAGGTTTGGAATTCAGGTTTTTGATTCAGGACGGAGTCTTGTTGGGGTTTCAGGTTCAAGCCTAGGGAAAGTGTGCTCAGGGAAGGAGGGTTTGGGATTCATTTGTATTTGAGGACTTTCAAGGGTTCAGGGTTTCAGGTGACTATGGGCAGAAGGGGCTTGTGTTGGAGGGTTCCAGGAATTTAGACTTAGGTTCTGGGGCTTACATGAGGGTTTCAGGGTCTTGGCAAGGCATCCGGACGGCAACTCAGAAGGTTCCATGCGCCGTGATAAACCCTAAACCTTAGACTTATGGGTTTGAGGTGTCAACCCAGAAGTCAGATCTCTAGGCACAGCGGTTTAGTTATCAGTTAGAAATGTACTCCCCAAATTTCCCCCCCCATATTGAATGCCTAGTTTAGGGTTTACGGTTATCCTCTTATACATGCGGATGTAAAGGAAGGGCCGGCGCATTTCAGAACCAGAAGCCCCTAAACTCAGACTCATGCCCAAGAAGGACCAGGACTTACTTCGGAGCACACGCAAGAGCAATGTTGATTGAAACCTTAAATCCTAGACCTCCTAGACCATATACCCTAAATTCTGTACCCTAAGTCCTCAGCCCTATAACTTAGACCTTAAACCGTATGCCCTGCATATCGAAGGCATCGCAGCCACCTTCAAGTCAATGGGCTTCAACTGTATCCGCTTCCCATGGTCAGTGTGGATGGTCGCAGGCTCAGAGCCAGTCCTACAAGGATGTGGTTCAGGGTTTAGGGCATCGAATTACTGTGGAAGGGAGAAGAAGAAAAAACACTAGGATATTGAGGGTTTCGTGTTCAGAGATAAGGGTTTAGGGTGTAGGGCTCGGGGTGTAGGTTTCGAGGCTCAAATGAGAGTGGGGGAATGGGTGATGGAGATGAATATGGGGGTCTAGGATGTAGGGGTTGGGATGTTTGTTTTGGGGCTTAGGCAGAAATAACGGAATGGGTGATAGGGGATAGGTCCCGTATGAGGCCTTTGGAAGAAATATTTATGTCTTCCTCTGGTGATCAAGGGACCTTAAACTCCCACACAGGAGGAGTATCTTGAATGGGAATCGTGCAGACCTGCCAGCATGGCGGGATCCCTGTCCGTTGTAAGAAAAGCGTCGGTTTGTAATGAAAAGGCATTGATTGCATAGGTACGTGCCACAACTGCTTGCTTAAGCTAGTGAGTTAGGGGGTTGACATGTCGACTCCACCTACCAGCCCAGACCTACATGCTGGCACGTACCCATGAGTGAATTTGTCAAAGCATTTCTACGTGGTCCTCAAGGCGGACCCCTCAATCTCGCTATCGTCATACACCCCCTGAGGTCCGCGTTGACACCCCTATTTTGAGAAAGACGCATGAAGTCGGATTTTGAAGTGCTCAGTTGCATGGAACCTGCTGTGCCACTTCCTCTCAGGTTCAGACCAATCCAGAAGTTCCTCCTCATCTCCAAGAGACGCTGGTTCATGATTAGGGTTGACGATTGCTTCCCATAAGCTAAAACGGAATCCCATCCAGGACTATTGACAAACAGCAGTCTCAGTAGTGTCGGTAGGGCAACTTCTCGGGGGGGGGGTACGGTTTAGATGGCTTGTTGCTGCAACATTTCAGACCAATACGCAATGTGGCCCCATCTTGAAATCCTACTCCCAAAGCAAGAGAAGCCGCATACCCATGGCCTACCCCTAATTCCCAATCCTGTAGCCTTCATCCGTACCAAAACCCTACAAAAGCCCAAAGCCCAGCCCCAAAACCCAAAACGCTTAAAGCATCCCTATAAACCATTAGAACCCTATGCGCCTTTAAGTACCCTACAAACCCTACACAGCCTATAAACCCTATAGGCTCTGAAACCTCCATAGACCCTGCAAACCCAAAAGCCATACCCATCCTAAGCCCTAAAGCCCATACCATCCTAAGACCTAAGCCCTAAGCCCTAAGCCCTAAACCATAAACCCCAAACTGAAACCCTAAGCCCTAAACCTTAAACCCTAGACCCTAAACCTCGAACCCTAGACCCCAAAACCCAAGCCCTAAACCCTAAACCCTAAACCCTAAATCCTAAACCATAAACTAACCCTGAACCCGTCCCCAGACCGAGGACGCTCTTGGCTGCAAATCCCTTGCTGATGGGGATGCGCGCCTTGGAGGTGTTGGATGCAGCGGCTTGGCCTGATAGTCGACCACCTGGGGATTTATGGTTTTTTGTTGGATTGAAGTTTTAGGGCTTAGGGTTCTTCTTGTAGGATTTAGGGTTTGGGGTTTAGAGTCTGGGGTTTAGGTCGAAGGATCTAGGTTGCAGGGTGTTAGGTTTAGCTTTTAAATGGGGAACTCCTTTAGGGACGATAATTACTAGGGAGCATGGAGGGATCTTTCTTTTACCATGAATACTGTTTAGCTGAGTTGACAGGCGCAGTAGTAGGACGACTAAGGCGTACTGGTATCATTCTTAGTGTCTGGCAGGACTCTGACAGGCATTCGTGTTGCGTGCAAGTGGTTTTCCGGGGTTGACTGCACGAAGATGCCGAAGGTGGGGACACTGATCTGAACAATGCTATCCCTTTCCTGCAAAGGTCCGGGAACAAGAATGAACTTCAAACATACCACATGGTGGTCTTAGAGGAGGTTTCTTACTCCGCTTAAATTCCCTGATAAGTGCCGGAGCAGCTGACCCACATATTTTTATCCTGACAGTTTCCTGAGGTGGTCGATGCCTGCGTGGCGGCCTGAATTTGTGAAGCAGTAGGTGCGATGGAAGGGAACCCACCCGCGGCCAAAGTGGCGAAATGCTTTTGGTGCTTGATTTCCCAGTATCTCTCTGGATCCCCTGATGCCCCAGTGCTCATGTTTTGGTCTGCATATTTTGGGGGGCACCAGTTAATAGAACAAAGTGCCTAGGGCGGTTCATGGAAAGCTGAGGCCACCGAACAGCTTCTCGTGTTTCTGGACAATCACGTGTCTGACGGCGCGGTTGTTTTGTAAGGGTTAGTTCAAGAGGCAGATGATCCACCCTGAATCCCGCATCTTTCTGAAAGATGACATGTTTTTACCCTTCCAAAGTCTTTCCTTGGTTGCTGCGAGCAAGACCATTGCTCCCCGTGTAGGGACTTGGTGCTGTAGCGACGTCGATCAGAACGGCCTGTGGTACAATAGCCGCTGGCCAGTGCGCGACTGGCTGGAGGCGGGTTCAGGGGTTGGCTTTGTTGACGCTTTCCTGTGATACTAGCCATGGCAGCCAGGGTATGAAGCTTCAGGAAGTTGCATGCATCATTGGCAACTTCAATAATTCGTGCGTTGCTGCTTGTAAGGCGCACGTGAAGCTGGCTGCTCGCTATGTGAGGCAGGCTGCACTTCGCCAGAACGACGATAGTTCCGAAGCAAGTTGCCATGTCGCTATGTTGTCGAACCATTGTGAGAAGTCATGGTTGTTGTATGCTGTTCTTCTACCCTTGCGTGATTGTATTCGATCATGTATAGTAGCCCATATCTAACCCACGCAATTCACCATCCCGTGAACCCACTCCCTCCCTTCCCTGACCAGCATAGGCAAGAGTCTCGTCTAGGTTGCTCTTAGAAAACTTAAAGCAAGCAACCATGAAATGGGTAAGAGGTAATTACTAGGGTGTTCCTACCCTAGTAACAGAATTAGAGTTCCTTAAAAGCATTCCCAAAAGAGTTTCATGCGGGGCGTCCGGAAGGCAGCCATGGGTTGTTGGAACGGAGCTGCGGAATGAGGCAGGTTGACACAGCCCGCAATGTCAAAGCATGTCAAACCTTGCTTGGACAGTTACCTATTACCAGTGCATTTGTATACTTATGATGTGTTTAACTGTATTGGTTCTAAATGATTCAACTATACCCTTTCTCTATGGCGATTTGTTTCCCTCTTATCCACTGTGACGGGGGTTGGCGACTTAGTAGGTACGTGCCAGCGCACCGGGCGGCAGCCCGCACTGGGGTGGGGGAGGTGACAATGTTCCTGCCTCAGTGCCAGGGGTGTTGTAGGGATAGTGGAAAAGAAAATGGAAACTACTAGATTACATAGGGTTATATGGGGTAATATAGGGTTTGTAGGACAATATAGGATGTATATTGGTGATCGTGTGGGTAGACGCAGTGAAACAGTTGCTCGGCTGTACTCGCAGAATCGCACCATGGGCTTTCTATGGCAGCATCCTCTCACAGCAGAACCGTGCAATAGCTGTGAGAGCCATCCTGAGGGGCTGCTGGTGTGTAGCCGAACATAGCTACTATATAGGGATTCTAGGACATATTGGGGACATATTAAGACAGTGGAAAAGAAAATGGAAACTACTATAGTATATTGTGGTTATATAGGGTTAAGGGGAAAATCAGAAGCAATCCCATAGCAGCCCCTGCAAGATGTTAGTCTAGGAACCATTTTGCTGGAATGCAAGGACTGGCATGCAGCGGCCACCAAGGCACCCCCTTTGCTTCAGGGTTTAAGGTTTAGGGTTGAAGGGTTTGGGGTTTAGGGTTTTGCTTTGGTTTTGACGTCCTCTTGTGCGATCAAACGGGCGTTTGCAAAACCACAGGGTGTCGCCCCCAATAAGTGAGCATATTCATTTGTTAGCCCTGGTACCGAAACAACACTATATGATCCCAGCTTCCATACCTTTCTCCATTTACTTTTCCATTGCATTGCTTCATAATTGCAGTAATACATCCCTAATCATCCCCAGTCCCCAAACGCTAAACCCTAAATAGCAATTTCTATTTTCTTTTCCAGGATACCTATATCACCTTGTATTCCCTATATAACCTTAAACCCGAAACCTAATATCCTGTCTGGTTACCAGGAGACCCAATTTTGTTGAAAACTTGCAAACTGTTGGTAGCGCAGGCTGGCAACGCCGTACTGACAGTGAATCCTTCTTTGCTCATTGCTGTGGCAGGGTCCTGAGAGTTGCTATGCAAATGTTTGTCAGCCCTTTTTAAACGGTTCCCGTTTTGATAGGGACCCGAGTATTTAGGCTACCCCGAAACGGGACCGCAATCTTGAGAAGCTTGCATGTAGACCCCTGATCCGTTGAGGCGCCATGTTTGCAAGGGTTTGCTCATCAGGGGTCTATCTTGCTGAGAATGATCATCCCGCAGATGCAACGCGGATAAGGGTGGCATCAACTATGGCAAAGACCTCTCTGGCGTCTACAGGCAGGTCCGCTGGCACAAGTCTCGCAGAGTTGCGTTTGACCAAGCCTCCAGCTTCAGCTACAAATGTCAGTATTGCTCACCCTAAACCCAACAGCCGAAACCCTAAAGCCTAAGGCCTAACTGTTTTCCAAGTGTTCTCACTCACCAGACTTTTGCTTCGGGCGACTGTATAACCGGAGGCTACCCATTTGGCTAGACGTGCCCAACAAGCTTGTCTCCAGCTCAGGATCTGTTGTGAGTCACACTGTACCAGGGTTTAGGGCTTAGTTGTGCAACATTTCAGATGGATATCGCTGGGAGAACTACAATGAAGGAACAACAGTTTTGATTTCGCAGAGCAGCTGTCATGACTGTTACCATGATCATGGTCGTCCTCAGCGAAGGTCTACACAGCTCACAGCTACTCTTGGTCTTACCCTTGGCTTACCGACAGCTACAAGGCAAGTGGTGGTGCCAGCACGCGGGACCGAGAGTGCAAAAAATACCCTGCTCTGATCCCTGCTTGCTCACCCTCCCTCCTACATAACCCTATAGTACCCAATTTTAGTAGTTTCCATTACCCTAAAATCATAATGCTCAATATCCCCTGTACCATCCCCTTACATGGGAGACCCAATTTTTGAGCAGGCATTGCACGAGCAGCTTGGCAAAGACTGGGGATTCATAGTCCAAGAAAACAGGTGCGGGGCTGAGTTGGTTGGATGATCCCAGAGCCCGAGCGGGAAAAGAATTGACTGCAGGCCAATCCTTCAGATGCAGACGTAGCCGTACAGTTAGAACTACATGAGCGTATGTATACTTGTAAGAATTTCTGAGTCATCACATCCACATCCACATCTTCATGTGCATACTTCATGTTGGCGTTCCCCGGCAAAAGGGCAGCAGTAGGCAAGCTTGTCCCTGCAATCTGGGAGGCCATACACTGCGCCAGTTTGGATCAGTGAGTTCGGAACCTTCAGCGACTGCCACAAGGACTTCATGACAAGCATCCCCAGAACTTGTTTGATAGGTTTTAGGGTTCAGGGATTGAGGGTGCAAGAATGGAGAATCAGATGGAAAAATGGAAAATGAAATGGAAATTACTATTTCGGGCTTACGGTTCAACATGGTTTAATACATGCTGTGAGAAGGTCTGTTGTCGTAGCTACAGTTGCTGCCACTGGTGTTCTGCAAGCCACTGTGGAGGCCGAAATTATATTGGAAAATCATAGCAAACGACATGGAATCTAGGGTATTCTGGGCTCTACAGGTGGTTGAGAAGGAATAATTACCTATATAATGGTCCTAGATGCCTTGCTTCAACTCTGGCATAAATAGACATCGAAATAATATTGGTAGTTGTTGTCGCCTCTAATTTAACCCCTATATGAACCAGTTTCAGTTTCACTTTCCAGTTGAGTGTTCTTTATGGTAATTGATAGTAGCAACCGCTTAGGACCTGAAACCCCCAACCCTAAACCTTAACCCCCAAACCCTAAATCTGAAGCCGGGTGGCCTGAGGGTGTCTCTGCGGAGGACACCTGCGCCAACTGGTGGCCGGACTTTCTGAAATACTTGGAGCAGGCAATGTCGACAGCCAAACATCTAGGGTTTATGGTCAAACACCAAGCAAGTTGAAGAGAGGTGGTCAAACATTTAGGGTTTAGTTTTTAGGGTCAAACAACTGGCAAGTTGAAGAGGGGTGGTTGCGATGTATCTAGGCATCGTGATAAAGATATTTGAATATCTGGTGATTGTCAGCAATGGCAGCAGAAGTCTGAGCCCCAAACCCCTGAAGCCCCGAGTCCTCAGCCCTAACCACCTGTTCAGGGCGACTTTGATTGGGCTGTCTGGCATGGAGACGGCACCTGGAGTCGAGATGACCTGCACCCCTTCCACGGCCCAACGAGTGCGCCCTGCAGTTTTTTATGTTTGCAGTTGGAAGTGTCATTTTTTGTCAGGTGCACTGCTGGGATGCTGAGGGCCTCCTGTCAGGTTTTATGTAGGGACCATTTTGAGAAACTCGCCTTTCCGAGAACAGTAGAAGTGTATAACATGCATACTAGATCAACGATGCACCAACCTTACGCATGAATAGAAGATTCACCCTGATCATAGTGCGGACATCTAATCACAGTACGGATGATCACTTCAGTTGGATTCCCTTCCCCATCAGTGGCCGCCTTGAACTCAGACTGTGAAAAGAAGGTGCTCTTCACTATGGAGAGGGTGGCAGGAGAACCCAATGAAAATGTCAGACTAAGCCACGACGAAGCCCTGGGAAAGCCTCAGTAGAGAAGCGGGCCCTGCAAGGGAAACATCCTTCCAACAACTGTAGTTGTAGTGGTGGTGACGGTAGCGGCGGCGGCGGTGGTGGTGTCGGCCTGGTGGTGCTGCTGCCTGCTGCTGGTGGTGCTGGTGCCGGCGGTTGTGGTGCTGGGGCTGCTGGTGGTGCTGGTGCTGGTTGTGGTGCTGGTTGTGGTGGTTGTGGTGGTTGTGGTGGTTGTGGTGGTTGTGGTGGTTGTGGTGGTTGTGGTTGTGGTTGTGGTTGTGGTGGTGGTGGTGGTGGTGGCGGCGAAGCCCTAAGAAAACCGAAAGGTCAAACTCCAAATCGTAGGACCGAAGCCATACATGCTACACTGTTGCTGACAGACTACGGCGTGCTGGCTGCCGACTGGCGAACTCCAGCTGCAAGCGGCGAGCTGCTAGCTGCACTCCAAACAATCCAGGCAGACAAGAGCTGTTTGGTTGCCTCAGATTTTGCACGAAACTTAGGGAAACTCTGAGGACTGCATGCATCTACTCAGGGTGGTGCAGGATTTCCAATGTTTAGAGAATAGGAAAGAACCTCTTCCCAAAATCTCATATTGCCACAGGCTAGGGTGGAGTTAAAGAAGAGACAAGCCCAGCTAGGGCTCATCTCGTCTTATTCAGTTTAACCTGCTCCAACTAGCTCGGTACGCTAAATTGCAGCAGTGTAGGCATGGGAATTGTGGGCTGCACTCCAAACACGAAGCCTTAAGCCTAAACCCTAGGCCATGAAGACTAAACCCTACAGTAAGCTTC